GATTCTCTTGCCTCAGCCTCTCGAGTAGCTGGACTACAAGCGCCCACTATAACGCCCAGCTATTTTTTTGTTGCAGTTTGGCTGGGGCCGGGCTTGAACCCACCACCCTCAGCATATGGGGCCAGCGCCCTATCCACTGAGCCACAGGCACCACCCCTAATTTTTCTATTTTTATTTTATTTAAGACAGTGTCTCGCTCTGTCACCCTGGGTAGAGTGCCATGGCACTCTCAGCAACTCACAGCAACCTCAAACTTGGGTTCAAGCAATTCTCTTGCCTCAGCCTCCTGAGTAGCTGGAACTACAAGTGCCTGCCACAATGCCCCGCTATTTTTTTTTAGAGATGGGGTCTTGCTCTGGTTCAGGGTGGTCTCTAGCCTGTGTGCTCAGTTAACCCACCCGCCTCTGCTTCACATAGTGCTAGGATTACAGGTATGAGCCACTATGCCTGGTGCCTGGCTGTTTTTTAGAGACGGGGTCTCTTGCTCAGGCTGGGATTGAACTCCTGAGCTCAGGTGATCCACCCACCTCAGCCTCTCAGAGTGCTAGGATTACAGGTGTGAGCCACTGTGCTCAACCCTAATTTTTCTATTTTTAGTAGAGATGAGATCTTGCTCTTGTTCAGGCTGGTCTCCAACTCCTGAGCTTAAGCAATCCTGCTTCAGCCTCCATGGTGCTAGGATTCCAAGCATGAGATATGCTTTGCAAATTATTCCCGTTTTACAGATGCCTTGCAAATTATTCCCGTTTTACAGATGAAGAAACAATCTGACACTAGGCAACATATGTGAAGTGACAGCATGAATAAGTGGTGGAACTGGGTTGTGAACAGAGGTAGACATACTATACTGTCAAGGTGTCATTCCCACCAATCTGTATCTTCCCGGCCTGGTAGTCTTTCTTTTGTACTAGTTCCAACACCTAACTTTCCTGGGTTGGGGGTGAGGGTGGGGTTCTACCAAGCCAACTTGGAAGTTTTGCTGCCTTTATGGATAAATAGGCACATTTTAACTACTGGAATCATGAATTTGCTGGTCTTTACTATTGGAGTGGAGATTTTGTCCTAAGTGATTTCTAACTTAAGTACTTTATATAGCCATTCCTGAAACTTCATCACTGTTCTCTTAGCTGGGTTTTTCTCTAGCAGCTGAGAGAAGCCTGCCTGCATCTCCCCCAGTGGGGCACCGCTCTATTTATGTCATTCCATCTTCTCTGAGGACAGGGAATGGGCCTGATTTGTTTATTTCAGTGTAGAGACACAGAAAGTATCCATTAACCTTGCTCTATTGGACAGAACTGAATGGGACATTGCCCCTGTTTTACAGGTAGGGAAACTGAGGTGTTCCTAGGGCCTGTGGATAGAAGGATTAAGAGCAGTGTGCACAGCTGAAATCCTGAATGAGTCCAGTTCTATGTGTTAGGTCTTGGACTGGGATATGGGAGAAGAGAAGGGAGGAAGGAAGTCAGGGGTACCTTATGTCAGACATATTGGGTCTGCTTACTCAGAAGGGAAAGCTGTGAGTGTCTTGAAGACTATGTAAGTCAGGCAGCTTCTTGGCAGGCCTGGTGGTGCACAGTAGGAGGGCACAACCCCTATTCTAGTCAGCCCCTCTTCTTAATATCCCCACCCCCATTTCTGGTAACTGAGTATTCTGAGTCATGATGAATGCCCCAGGGTAATGTAGGCCATCCATTATTTACACTCTAGTATGGATTAATCGCTAATTCTAGGACCCGAGGATTAGAAATGAGACACCTGTCACTTTCTTGAAATTTTCCTGCTCACCCATTTCCCCAAGAAGCAGCCACATCATGTGCTCTTAGCTGGTGACTTTATTCATGGAGGAGTGGGGAAAATCAGCGAGAGTGGGTTGTTTTCAGATAACCTGGAGAGGGGTAAGTCTGTGGAACCCCAGGGAGGAGGGATAGGTTGTTGGAAACTAGAAAAGCCGAGAGGGAGACGGGTAGGGCCAGGGAAAGGCTAAATCTCCCACCCAAGGCCAGGCGTCCGCTAGGGGCCGCTGCCGCTTCCACTGCCACTCCCGCTGCCGGCTGCTTCCAGGATCAAAGTGCGAGGGCGGCGGGAACGCCGTCGGGGTCTCGGATGTGACAGAGCCGGGAGGGAAACATTGAGGCAGTGACGGGCGCCAGGAGAGGCCACTGGCGTGGTGTGGCCCAGAACCGAACGACAAAGATCTGTCCCATCTACGAAGGTCTGGTAAAAAGGTAGAGTTAGAGATTGAAGGGGCGGAGTCCAGACACGCTGGAGGCGGGCTTTCTTGGTAGGGGATGTGGCCTCAAGAAGCGAAGGTCCTGCAGTGCCTTTGAGGGTAGTCTTAGCGCAGGAGAGGCCTGCTGGGGAGTCTGGCTGGGCCGGAGTTGGGGCAGGACCTAGGGAAGGGCACCTCTTTTACCGGGTTCCAGGGGCCAAACACCGTGGGGCAGGTGCAGGGCAGGAAATACCAAGGCTGGGGCCTTGAAGGTGGTGACTTAGACCTCTGGGTTCACAGGGTATACTGTGGATAGGCCAAAGCAGAGATGGTCCCTTGGAAAAGGTAAATCTGGATTCATTGGGCTCTTGGGAGGCTATGGGCACATCTTAGTGAGGAGATTGGGCTGCGAAAAGGGGAAGGGTGGGAGCAGGGACCTTAGGAATGCCAGTCTGTACTCCTCTCTCCCTCTGTCCCACACTCACCTGCCCATAGGTACGGCAGTTGGGTTCACAGCTCCTTTTAACTGGGAGTGGGAGCCAAGTCCAGCCACAGGTCATATCATTTTCACAGATGGCAAACCTGGGGAGGGCATGTGGAGAGGTGAGTGAAGGCTCTGCAGCCATGTAGAGCTAGTGGGACTGTGGCTCTACTGGGCTCAATTCCATATGTGCCTCTCCTTTAGGTCCAATCTCTCTTAGGACCACTCCCCTGCAAATCTTGTCTCTCCCAATTTATATCTGATATTCTACCAAATCTTTCCAAATACTTTGGGCCATATTATTTCTTTCTTTCTTTTTTTTTTAGACAGTCTCAAGCTGTTGATCTGGTTAGAGTGCTGTGGTGTCGTAGCTCACAGCAACCTCCTACTCTTGGGCTCAAGCGATCCTCTTGTCTCAGTTTTTCTGTTTTAGTAGAGATGGGGTCTTGCTTTTGCTCAGGCTGGTCTTGAACTCATGAGTTCAAGCTATCCACCCACGTTGGCCTCCCAGAGTGTTAGGATTACAGGCATGAGCCCCTGTGCGCAGCCTGGGCTGTGTTATTTCAACTGGCCTCATCCCTCATCCCAGACTTCAAATCATCTGCTCCAGGCCAGCACCTTACATTTTCCCACCCTTTTAGATTCTCTTTTTCTTTCTTATTCTTTCTTAGTCTCACTCTGTTCCCCCAGGCTGGAGTGCTGTGGCACCAGTTAAACTCACAGCAACCCCAAACTCCTGGGTTCAAGAGCTCCTGGCTCGGCACCCATAGCTCAGTGGGGAGGGCGCCAGCTACATGTACCCCGGCTAGTGGGTTCAAACCTGGCCCAGGTCTGCTAATCAATGACAACAACAACAAAAGTAGTTGGGCATTGTGGCAGGCGCCTATAGTCCCAGCTACCTGGGAGTCTGAGGCAAGGGAATGGCTTAAGCCCAGGAGTTTGAGGTTGCTGTGAGCTGTGATGCCATAGCACTCTACCAAGGGCAACTTAGTGAGACTCTGTCTCA